AAAAAAAAAAAAAAAAAAGAAAAAGAAATGACTGTTTACCTTACAAGGTATTTGGAAAGTTTTACATCCAGGTCGGAACCCCAAACAGAAATTTACACCCTAGATGGAAAGAAGCCTGGGCTTTTGAGCACGTAGAGGGTGTCCCTGAGGCATGAGACCTACCCCTAACCTCCAAGAATAGGGAGAAAAGGAGGGGCTGGTTGTTTATCTACAGGCCGTATCTAGGTGATTTGTCTCTAAAGGACAGTATGTCTGCCCAGAAGTCTTTCTCCAGCTGAGTACAGATGAGCAAACAGCATCCTGTCCCTGTTCTCCAAGGCAGGGCACTTCCACCTGGGCTGGAACATCTGCACTGATTGGTCGGTGGGTTTCTGGCGTCTCTTTTCCTGCTTTCCTCTCCAAAAGGCTGTGCTGAATAAACTTTGCTTCCCCACACCTCCCTTGCCTGTCGTCTCTGAAAGTGACCTTCAGACCAGAGGGCAGAACCAAACTATTTATTTGCCGGAAGATCTTTGATAAGGAAAAATAATAATAAAATCATTGATGCTGTCCTGTGTCCACAGGTGAAGCAAATCATGGAGGAGGCTGTCACCAGGAAGTTTGTGCATGAAGACAGCAGCCACATCATCGCTTTATGTGGTGAGTGAGCAACTGAAGGATGGTGGGAGGCGGGGCTAGAGCGGAGGACACTGGCCTGGGACCAGGAAAAGATGAGTCCTCGGGTGCAGTAGTTCTCAAATGTGGCTGCAGGTCCAAGTTAACCCGGAAGCTTTTGAAATCCTGTTTGGCCCCATTTGCAAACCTGCTAAGTCAGGATCGTCAGAGGTCAAGGGTAGTATATTTTCAGTTCCACAGGTTAGTAATTCTCAATTTTAGTGTGCATCACAGTAACCTGAAGCGTTTGTTAAAATGCAGATTTCTGGGTCCCAACCCTGGAGTTTCTGATTCTAGCAGGTCTGGGGACCCCACCTTTAGAGCCACTGCCCTAGGCCATTTGAGTTCAAGAACCACTGTTCTGATTTATCTTTATTTTAACTTCAGGGAGGGGTTTGTGCTGTTTGGATGCTGTCTGTGCCACTTTCACGTTCTGATTAATCCCACCCACGTTGCTCTATCATCCTAATTCCAAGCGCATGTCTGGATGCAAGAGCCTGAGCACGGACTAGGAGGGGCGGCTAAGCCTTCCAGCCTCCGAAAGGAGAGAGGCCCTCATAACCACTGCCTCCTCCTCTGAGGGAAGACTTTTGCCTTTGCAGGAGCAAGCCTATCTCTACACAGAATTTTCTTGGATTTCTGGGAATTGAGCTTCTTCTAAACTCCCCATCTGAAGGGACAAGGAATCATTTGCTTTCTCTCTGTGGTGTTCCTTGGCCTCTGAGGTTGGCGCTGGGGTTTGTGGAAGGGAAAGGAAGGAAAGAACAGATGAGGGCTGCTTTTTGACGGCAGTGTGGTGCAGCAGATATCATCCAGCGGCAGACACCCAGCGAGGGCTCCCCAGGTGCCAGACAGTGTTCACCGTGTAAGGAAATGGCAGTGACGGGATGGACAGTTTCTGCTGCAGGAGCTCACATTCTGTTGGGGAGACAGACAGAAACCAAATGCGCAAGTAAATACATCATGTAATAACTCATCACTTGATAAGGGTTAGGAAGGAAAACAGATGTGGAAGGGCAGTTGGGGAGAGGCGGCCTGTGAGCAGAGTCTGAGTGACAGACTGGGGCTTGAATCCTCGTTCCCTGCCTTTTAAGTCGTCTTGGACAAGTTTCTTCACTTCTCTCACCCTCAGCTTGCTCCTCTAGAAGCAGGGTGATGATTCCCACCTGGAGGAATTGTTGGGGGGATGAGATGATGCAGGTAAATGTTCATTTGTTCTTGGCATTGCAAGTGCTCAGAGAATGTCTCTCCTTCTTTGGGTGTTGAGGCTGAAGGTAGGTTTGTCGGACTTGACTTCCCACCATGTCCCTTTGGGAAGGTTTTCCCAGTTCTTCCAGATGATGTAATAATGATTCCCAGGTTTACAAGACATAGCCTGACCTCGGTTTTTCTCAGCAGAACCTGTGCTCTAGAAAAAAAAGTATGCCAGTCTTATGATAAGCAACTTTGAAGAGTATTAGAATTCTCGGCCGGGTACAGTGGCTCACACCTATAATCCCAGCACTTTGGGAGGCCGAGGTGGGCGGATCACCTGAGGTCAGGAGATTGAGACCCACCTGGCCAACTTGGCAAAACCCCGTCTCTACAAAATATACAAAAATTCACTGGGTGTGGCGGCGCATGCCTGTAATCCCCGCTACTGACAGGCTGAGGCAGGAGAATTGCTTGAACCCGGGAGGCAGAAGTTGCAGTGAGCCAAGATCATGCCACTGCACTCCAGCCTGGGTGACAGAACAAGACTCCATCTCAGAAAAAAAAAAAAAGAGAATTCTCTTCCTTTCCACCTGTGCTGTGTTCCCGTGACACTCCCAGTGTCTGTTGTCACCAGAAGGGCTGTTCTGGCAGCACACTTATGTGTAGCTTGGTGCTAGGCTTCATCAAAGCACACACACTAGAGAAAACAGAACAAATGGTGCAAACAGCTTGTGCATGGGCGCCATGTGTGGGTAGCCCTGGGAGAATGAGGGAAAGGGGGCTTGAGGCAGGAGAAACGCTGTATGTGTCTCACATTCAGGCCATTAGCGTGAGAAGAAACTGTCAGCTCTCCAGTCTGTCCATGAGCCCCCTGGAGAGTAGTAGGGCTTTCACTTTTGTCTCCTGCCTGGAAGCCCAGGGCTCTTTCCAGGAGGCAGGGCTATCAAACTCCAAAGGAATCATTTTCCTGCTTTCAGTCAGTTTCAGTAGCTGAAATAGAACCAGGCCCTCTAGTTTCCAGGCTTCTAAACTGCCCAGGAGTAAGAGGAGCCCTGTTCTTTCAGTACTCAGGAGGTACCTTAGCGCCACCAATACTAAACTGAATGCTTACGGGGCCAGACAAAAAATGACTACAGGGGCTGAGTGCGGTGGCTCACCCCTGTAATCCCAGCACTTTGGGAGGCCGAGGTGGGTGGATCATTTGAAGTCAGCAGTTTGAGACCAGCCTGACCAAAATGGTGAAACCCTATCTCTACTAAAAATACAAAAATTAGCCAGGCGTGGTGGCGTGCACCTGTAATCCCAGCTACTCAGGAGACCGAGGCAGGAGAATTGCATGAATCCGAGAGGCGGAGGTTGCAGTGAGCCAAGATCTCCAGCCTGGGCAACAAGTGCAAAACTCCATCTCAAAAAAAAAAAAAAGAAAAAGAAAAAGAAATTTCCTACTTTTTAAATGCTGGCAGCTAATTCCCATTTTTTAAAAAAAATGTGTGGGCCAAACGAAAGGCCTCTGCCAGCCTCTGCCAGCGTGCTGCCTCTGCTTTGGGCTCAGTGCAGTCACTGAGAACAGGAGCAGGGGAGGTTCCAGCAGTTTTGGGCTAAGTCAGGCCACGGCATCTCAGGCCCACAGATAGAGGAATACTCACGCTTTGTCAAAATTGGTGCTCAGTGGTGAGATAAATCCCAGTTTGGGCTCAAACCAAGGTTCTTTGAAAGCATTGATTATCAGCCTTTTTTCCTCTGCCTGCAAGCCATTTCCATTGCCTGGCATGGTGGAATCCTGAGAGATTCTTGTGGCGGAGGGGAGGGAAAGCTAGGGAGATACTAATCAAAACCACTCTTCTGCCTTTTTGGACATGCTGATGTGCCAGGCTCCCTCACTCCGTGGGAAAATGCTCTGAAATGCAGTGTTAGTCTGAAGTTGATCCAGACTTAAACTATGCCTTGCTACTGCCCTAGCCACGTCCAGAATTCAGCTTTGTTGTCGGAGAAATGGGAGTGCTGAGAGGTCAGGAGCCCAGTGAAGTCTGTGGAGACTGTATTACCAGCCGGCGACACCACGCTCCCTAGTTCCCAGGGACTTTGTGTACTGGGCCCCTCGACTCCACACTGGCCCACTGTTCTTGGCAGAGGAGGGTTAGGGGATGACCAAGGAGAGCCAGGCCTAGGCAATAGCTTCTCTGAACTTCTTAGAATACAGACATTTAAACGGAAAAAGCAGAGCCTTCCTGGAAAGCCTTAGAAATGGAACTGAAGAATCACTGGGTCAAGACCTCACCACGGGCAAACCCGGGAAAACTTCCAGCCAGATCCCATTCCTGTTACCCAAGGGGAGGGGCGAAACTCCCAGGACTGGCAAGAAGGATGCTTCGTTGAGTGTTTGCTGTGGTTGTTCCTAATCCTGTCTGCCCGGAAGCTGGGTGTGCAGTAGGCCTCTGCAAGTAGAAACTTCCCTGTGTGGAAGTTTCGCTGGTAAACCAGGCTAGCGCTGGAGTGGGGGGTCTCTGTGTGCTGTTCCCAGGCCTGAGGATCAGAACCTATGTAACTGCCCCTCCTTGCCAGTGGAGGGTGGCACTTGGAGAATGGACTCAAAACTATCACTATGGGGCCAAGCATGGTGACTCATACCTGCAATCCCAGTGCTTTGGGAGGCTGAGGTGGGAGGCCAGAAGTTTGAGACCAGCCTGGGAAATATTACAAAACCCAGTCTCTATAAAAAAAAATAAATAACTAGCTGGGCATGGTGGTGCACGCCTATAGTCCCAGCTACTCTGTAGTCTGGGATAGGAGGATCACTTGAGCCCAGGAGGTCAAGGCCGCAGTGAGCTATGATTGCACCACTGCATTCCAGCTTGGGCAACACGGAGAGAGAGAGACGTTGTCTTGTTTTGTTGTTGTTGTTGTTGTTGTTGTTTTGGGTATTTGTGTGTGTGTGTGTGTGAGAGACTAAGTCTGGCTCTGCTGCCCAGGCTGGAGTGCAGTGGCGGTATCTCAGCTCACTGCAGCATCCGCCTCCCAGGTTCAAATGATTCTCCTGCCTCAG